ACCGCCTGGGATCCGACGTTCTGGTGCCCCAGCGGGCGGTGGATATGGATATATTTTGGCCAACGGGGGCCTGTGTTATTATGTCCATATCCACCGCCTGCCGAGGTCCCCGGAAATTGATCCTCCAGGCGGTGGCCATGTTTACATTCCCACCAGGGACAAAGAGGCACGGATGCAAAGAGTGCCCTTTGTGTCCTTCCCTCGTGATCAAGGCTAAAGTAGGTGATCAAGGATAAAGCAGGTTGGAACATCATAAGGGTACCCTTGGGAAGTGGACCGTGCACGCAGCCGACCTTTGCCACCAGCGGCCCCCGCTGGCGGCGGCTGCGGCGGCACGGGCTGCGGCACAGCCGCGCCCTGCAGCGACGCCCACGGCCCTCCGCCGGCAGGCGCTGGCGCGGGCGGCGAACGCTGCAGCGCAAACTGTGGCGCGGCGGCGCCCTGCATCGACGCCCAGGGGTCGGCCTCTCGGGGGCGTCCAAGCGAGAGGGGGGCGTCCAAGAGTGGGGCTCGCACGTCATGGCCAGAGGCATGTGCGCGGACGAGTTTCGCCTTCGTGCCTCCATTCGCTCCCCATGCGCCCCACCGCTTGCTGGACCGGTGCCTGACTGTCCTGGGCCACGTGGCGCCCGCGGACTTCACAAGTGTGCGCGGACGAGGGGGAGACGCGGGGACTTACAGTGGAGGCCAGTCCAAAAGAAACCTTCCAGAAGAAACCCTACCCCGAGGCCCACAGGACATCCATGGAGTTTTGGCGTGGGAGCGTCACGCTTTCCACAGCAAAGCCATCGAAACCCAAGAAACCCAGGGCACCCTGGAGGCAAGCAGGGCGCTTCCCTTGGCATGGGCCTCCACTGCACTGAAGAGGAAGACGCAGGGCCATGAGATCCAGGCAGACATCACGGTCCCGGCCGTGAGGTCCCCCCACCCGGGTCAGCACCCAAAGAATGTGTATACCATAACTGCCCGGTTCAGCACCCATCACGGCCCCGGCCGTGAGGCCCGCCCGAAGAACCTGTAGACTACATATGACTGCCGAAAAGCCCCCGGGGGGCGGGCGAGGGCCCCGGTCGTGGGCCTGGCCCACACAACCTCCGGCCCCAGGGCGTGGCTTCTGCCTCCTGAGAGATGGCCCCAGTTGGGGCGGGCAGGGTGCGGCATCTAAAGAAGAGCCCGAGGATCGTGGGGCGCCCAGGGAGCCTCGGGCCCGCCAGCGGGCGGCCAGCCCACCTGCGCCACCGCGGGCGGCGGCGCGCGCGGCTGTGGCAGCCCGACCGGCGGGGCCTCGAGCGACGCCAGGGCGGCGGCCTCGGCCGGCGGGAGGCCGCGCGGCGGGCCCGGCGGCGCTGGCGGAGGGCTGCTGGGAGGGCCCGGCGGCGCCAGCGGCGAGCGCGGCAGCGGCGGCGGTGGCCCGCGTGGCTGCTGCGCCTCGCCTTGGGTGCTGCTCCTCCTCCTCCTCCTCCTCCTCTCCTCCTCTCCTCCTCCTCCTCCTCCTCCTCCTCCTCCTCCCTCCTCCGCCTCCTCCTCCTCCGCCTCCGCCTCCGCCTCGCCTCGCCTCCTCCTCCTCCTCCTCCTCCTCCTCCTCCTCCTCCTCCTCCTCGATCCTCTGCTGACAGGGGGGCGGTCCATGGTGGGGCGAAGAACCCAAACCCCCGACGTCGTATTTTTGCACAACGTCCGCCTCCACAGGTCTGGACCCCTTCCCCGCGACCGGTCTTCATCCTGAGCCGTCTTCACATGTCTGCACGCTCCTGCAGCCCGCAGGAGGCCCTGGGAGGCCGAAGAGAAGAGAACGAACGTTCCCCGCCGTGATTTTCGCTTCACAGCGCGAGGGGGTCCGGGACCTTCCGTGCCCCCTTTTGGGGCCCCAGGATAACCAGCCTCGAACGTATCCCTATCCCTAAGATTACCAAGCCAAAGGTCGACGACCATCTTAGGGATGCGCCCTCAAAAAACGGAGGGAATCCCTAATATCGGCATCGAGATGAGGCGATGCCAATCATAGGGATAGGGAGATGTTCCAGGCTGGTGACAGGAAGGCCCTTTGAAAGGTGCACGGAAGATGCACCTGCCTTCGCCCCCCTCCCGCCCCCAAGTATCGACTCCCCCGCGCGCAACGCCCGATCGCCGGGCAGCAGCGCCGCGCCCGGAGGCGGCGGTGGCCCAGGCGGCGGCCCTGGGGGCTCGCAGTGCTGCGCGGGCTGCGGCGGCGGGCGTGCAGGGTCCGGGTACTGGGCGGCGAAGGCAGCGAAGTCAGAGGCCAGCATGCACTCCGACGACCTGGCCCGCAGCGCGGCCTGCATGGCGCCCGACGCCATGGCCTCCACCGCCATCCGCCTGCGGGCCTCGGCCTCGTGCAGGAGGTTCGCGAGCGCAGGGTAGCTGCGCTGGAAAGCGGAGCCGACCTCGCGGAACCGTGCCGCGATCGCCAGTACCAGCGCCATGCGCGCGCAGCTTCTTCGCAGATTGATGTTGTTGGCAGCGCCTAAGGCGCACGTGCCTACGCAGATCAAAAGAATCGATCACGTGACCAACGACGTTGCCACTCCCCCTAGTAACCGTCCTCGAAGAGCTCTTATTACTCATCGCACAAGGTGTGCTACACTACAGTTGTGCTTACGCGTGCGCATTTATCTACGGCCCCAGGTGCGATGTGTTATGCTCTGACATGCTTTGCTGAGCTGAGAATGTCTACGATGTGCTGTGTCATGCAACGATGCCACATGCTATTATACGCTTGTTGATGGTCTGCTGTAGGGTATAGTTATGTACTTCGTCACGTTATGCTGCGCTTTGCAGGCATCTGACACATGCAATCTGACTGCAGCATGGCCCAACAGGCCCCGACAATGTCCCAAAATTCATATGGTTCGAAGCGCCCCCGGATCTTCACACTCGAATGTTTTGGGGGGGCTTCTCCACTTGTACCACACTTTCTGGCGCTCGCATCTTCCGATGAGCCACTCAGGTCATGGCCCCGAGATGTCCCAAGAATGACCCAGGGAATTGCCCCTGCCCCCTCCCCCCTCCGATTCCTGGCGATGGCATCCACCACGGCCTCGCGTGGCCCGAAGAGCACCCCAGAGGCTCCCGAGCGGGCTCCAGGCGAGCCCCGAGAGGCGATCGACAGCTCCGTGAGTGCACCCCCAGAGCCCCGAGACCTCTCCAGAAGGAGGAGGGAGGAGGGAGGAGGGAGGAGGAGGGAGGAGGGAGGAGAGGAGGAGGAGGAGGAGGAGAGGAGGGAGGAGGAGGAGGAGGAGGAGGAGGAGGAGGAGACCCCCAAGAGGGCCCCGAGCTGGCCCCCCCGGGGGGCTCGGCTGCTCGGGCCGACCCCCCGGCGCACACGGGGCGCCCGCGGGGCGCCCGCCACTGGGCGCACGACCGGCCACCCGGGCAGCCACCGGGCGAGGCCCCGGCGGACCCGCCCAGCCACTGAGCAACATTTGAGATGGGGCGCGTCCTGGGGCGCGTGCTGCGACGTTGCGGCGCGCGCGCGCGCGAAGGGGGCCCGCCGACTCCGGCGGCGGCCCCCCCCGCCCCCCCCCCCGGCCCCAGGGGGGAGGGGGGCGCCCCCCCCCCCCCCTGGCCTGGCCGAAGCTTAGTCGCAGGTCTTCAGGTCGCGCATCCCCCAAAAACCCTATCCTTCTCCACATCCGTCTTCCCAACATCACAGTCGCCATCGCCAGCGTAGCATAGCCCAGCATAGCATAGCATAGCATAGCATGGTGCGACCCCCTTCGTAGCGAGGATCGCATCGATGACCCCTCGTCGCGGGGACCTAATCGACCCACCCATCACAGTGACAGCGGGGACCTACGTAATCGACCCCCTCCCCATAGCGGGGACATAATCGACCATAGCGGGGACCTGATTGACTCCCCCTCTCATCGACTACCCTTCGTAGCGGGGAGCTAATCGACCCACCGCCCTCATAGTGGGGACGTAATCGACCCCCCCATCACAGCGGTCGTCATCATCATCATCATCATCATCACCACCACCATCATCATCATCATCATCATCTTCATCTTCATTTTCATCTTCATCATCACCATCATCATCATACGGCCGGCACAAGGCTTACGAACTTCGGTGGTTCGGGGAGGGTACCCTTATGTTCTTCGTTTTTGTTCCATGTTCTTGTGAACCCTGGGGGAGGGTATCCTCGATGTTCTTCAGTTTGGCGCCATTATTCCTTCGTTATGACAAAGCTGGGGTTCGGGGCTCACGATTCGGCTACGAGCGTCCACGGCGGGGGCGGGACCCTCCATGTTCTTCGGTCCCGAAGTCACGGCGCGGCCTTCAGCAACCGCGTGCCCCTTCATGATGGTGGTGCGATTGCAATCACCCTCGCATGTTCTTAGGGGACTGTTTGGCGTTGGTGGGCTTCGGGCTGCGGGGCTTAGGGCGTGCGGATGCAGGCTTGATTGAGGCTACGTGCGCACGTAGGCCGCAGGGCTCGCGCGTCCGCGGCACGGGCAGGACCCTCCATGTTCTTCGGTTTCGATGTCAAGGTGCGGCCTCCAGCAACCGCGTGCCCCTTGATGATGGCGGCGTGAGTGCAATCACCCTGGCATGTTCTTAGGGGAGAACTTGGCGCTAGTGGGCTTCAGGTTTCGGAGAGTAGGGTGCGCGGCTGCAGGCATGAGGCTAGGGCGGGCGGGCGAAGCCACGCGCAGCTTCCTGGGCTGCGGCAGGGCTGAGAGGTTGGATGTGCGGATGACGTTCAGGACGTAGCGCTGATGTCGGTCCTATGCTAAGGCCCATGGGGTAGGCCGCAGGGCTCGCGCATCCGCGGCGCGGGCAGGACCCTCCATGCTCTTCGGTCTCGATGTCAAGGTGCGGCCATCCGCAACCGCGTCCCCCTGGATGATGGTGGCGCGAAAGGAATCGCCCTCGCATGTTCCTAGGAGAGAGTTTGGCGGTTGTTGGGCATCAGAGCGGGGTATGTGCGCGCGTGCGTGCGTGCGTGTGTGCGTGTGTGCGTGCGTCCTACCGAGGGCCACGCAAAACTTGACATGCGCGTCTGCGCTGCCGAACGCGAGTTAAGAGGCCCGCGTTGTCAGCAATGGGAGAGTCGCCATGTTGGCTTGGAAAACCAAAGTGAACCTTCAGCGTCGCCAGTCAGATTTCCAGGTTAGCATGGGCTCTGGCGCATGTGTTCAGAAACGGCGCATGCAACCACTTCTCGCGCGCGCCTGCGCCGCCGCGCGCGCGGCGGCGCCGCCGCGCGCGCGGCGGCGCAGGGGCGTGGGGCGCTCAGTGTTATCAGCAGTAGAAGAAGCGCCATGTTGGCCTGGAGAATCAAAGTGGACCACTAGCGGTTGCCGATTGGATTTCCAAGTCAACATGGGTTCTGGTGTACGTGTCTTGCAACGGCGTATACAACAACCCCTCGCGCGCGCCCGCGCCGCCGCGCGCGCGGCGGCGCCGCCGCGCGCGCGGCGGCGCGTGCGCGTGGGGCGCCCCGCGTTATCAGCAATAGAAAAGTTGCCATGTTGGCCTGGGAAATCAAAGTGAACCCTTAGTGGTTGCCGATTGGATTTCGAAGTTAACATGGGTTTTGGTGCATGTGTTCTACAACAGCGCAGACAAACACTCCTCGCGCGCGCCTGCGCCGCCGCGCGCGCGGCGGCGTGTGCGCGTGCGGAGCTTCGCGTTATCGGCAATAGAAGAGTCGCCATGTTGGCCTGGAAAATCAAAGTGAACCCTTAGCGGTTGCCACTTGGATTTCCAAGTTAACATGGTTTCTGGTGCATGTCTTCTGCAACAGCGCGCGCAAAACTTCTCGCGCGTTCCTGCGCCGCCGCGCGCGCGGCGGCGCGCGCGCGCGAGAAACGCCGCAGCGCCAGCAATAGGACAGTTGCCGCGTTGACTGGGGAATTCAAAGGGAGCCCTTGGAAGTGGGCAGTTTGATTTCCAAGTTAACATGGGTTTTGGTGCATGTGTTCTGCAGCGGCGCATGCAAACGCTTCTCGCGCGCGCCTGCGCCGCCGCGCGCGCGGCGGCGCAGGGGCGTGGGGCGCTCAGTGTTATCAGCAGTAGAAGAAGCGCCATGTTGGCCTGGAGAATCGAAGTGGACCACTAGCGGTTGCCGATTGGATTTCCAAGTCAACATGGGTTCTCGTGTACGTGTCTTGCAACGGCGTATACAACAACCCCTCGCGCGCGCCCGCGCCGCCGCGCGCGCGGCGGCGCCGCCGCGCGCGCGGCGGCGCGTGCGCGTGGGGCGCCCCGCGTTATCAGCAATAGAAAAGTTGCCATGTTGGCCTGGGAAATCAAAGTGAACCCTTAGTGGTTGCCGATTGGATTTCGAAGTTAACATGGGTTTTGGTGCATGTGTTCTACAACAGCGCAGCCAAACACTCCTCGCGCGCGCCTGCGCCGCCGCGCGCGCGGCGGCGTGTGCGCGTGCGGGGCTTCGCGCTATCGGCAATAGAAGAGTCGCCATGTTGGCCAGGAAAATCAAAGTGAACCCTTAGCGGTTGCCACTTGGATTTCCCTGTTAACATGGTTGTCTTCTGCAACAGCGCGCGCAAAACTTCTCGCGCGTTCCTGCGCCGCCGCGCGCGCGGCGGCGCGCGCGCGCGAGAAACGCCGCAGCGCCAGCAATAGGACAGTTGCAGCGTTGACTGGGGAATTCAAAGGGGGCCCTTGGAAGTGGGCAGTTTGATTTCCAAGTTAACATGGGTTTTGGTGCATGTGTTCTGCAGCTGCGCATGCAAACACTTCTCGCGCGCCTGCGCCGCCGCGCGCGCGGCGGCGCCGCCGCGCGCGCGGCTGCGCAGGGGCGTGGGGCGCTCAGTGTTATCAGCAGTAGAAGAAGCGCCATGTTGGCCTGGAGAGTCAAAGTGGACCACTAGCGGTTGCCGATTGGATTTCCAAGTCAACATGGGTTTTGGTGTACGTGTCTCGCAACGGCGTATACAACAACCCCTCGCGCACCGCGTTATCAGCAATAGAAAAGTTGCCATGTTGGCCTGGGAAATCAAAGTGAACCCTTAGTGGTTGCCGATTGGATTTCGAAGTTAACATGGGTTTTGGTGCATGTGTTCTACAACAGCGCAGACAAACACTCCTCGCGCGCGCCTGCGCCGCCGCGCGCGCGGCGGCGTGTGCGCGTGCGGAGCTTCGCGTTATCGGCAATAGAAGAGTCGCCATGTTGGCCTGGAACACATGCACCAACACCCATGAGTTGCGCCGCTGCAAGACCCAGAGTGGTTGGGGGCGCCGCAGGGTTGGGGCGAGAGCTCGCGCGCGTGCATGAGTGCCAGGGCGTGAGACGTGGCGCTGAGGCCCACTGCTAGAGCCCTAAGCTGGCCGCAGGCCTCGCGCGTCCGCGGCGTGGGCAGGACCCTCCATGTTCTTCGGTCTCGGTGTCAATGTGTCGCCTCCAGCAGCCGCGCGCTCGTGGATGACGGCGGCGCGGAGACGCACGCCCTCGCATGTTCTTGTTTTGGGGCAACAGCAGCCTGGAGCTGGGCCTAGGGTGGCGGGGGC